CTATATGTTGTGCTACGCGATCGCTAGCGACACAGGTACGTTAGCATAACATTAGCACAGTGAAGCTGAAGGACGAACACTAACTTTTTTCCACTTGATAAAAGTTAACGTGAGGGATTCTGGTGTTTAGGGACAAAAGCAATCGCATAGCAGGATGCTATACACGGGCCAAACTTCAGTCAGGAGAACAACTGAGATAATCCATCCATAATAAGTGGTTCGTTTTTAATGTACTGCTGCACAAGTTAGGCAGTAGTTGCATCATAAGGTTTTAAAAACTGAGCTTTAAAATGATTAGCGGTAATAAAGACCAAGAGAGGCCGACAGTGATCACTGAGTGTTTTTAGGGGCTTTTTGAGATAAAGTAGAACAAGATATAAAGCAATAAACCATGTTAAAAACACAAAAGCCTTATTAAAGGCGAAGTAGTTTGGGCCTGGAATTAGCCATTGAAGACTTGATTTAAAGTACGCATCGAGCTGAGAACGTGAAAAATTCCTAGATGTGTTCTCGTTCCTCCTGTTTTATCAAGCATGCATTGGTGGTGACTTGTGTGTACTTAGTACAGCTAAATATCCTAGAATGCATTTCATCCAAACGCCAAACACGGCAATGGTAGATGAGCGCGGCTAAAACTTAAATATTACTCTATATCTAAAATCACAAAATAAAAGTTATTTTCAAATGTGAATGTAGCTGTGTAAGCTTCAGATATCTGCTCGATTTAGCAAGATATACATTTCCAAAGTGATCCGACATTTTTGGGGATGTCTTTTACCCACCAGCTCCATAGCTGACCGGGAGATCGAGGATCACTAGAGCTGGTGAGAACAGTGGACTCCCAGCACATCGTTTTCAGCAATATTTTCTCATCGATTTGATGGTCACTGTTAGTGGTGCAACGGGTCAAAAATCTCACGGTTCGGATCGGATCACGGTTTTAAGTCACGAATTGGATCAGCAAAAACAGGGAAAAAAAGACAAAAATTCGACCCGCCATTTACTTAAGTATTTTTGCCTCTTAAAAAATATTCAACTGAAGACTCATTCCACGCACTTATATAAAAACAAATTAAGGTACAATATAGGGGTGGGCGATATAAACGATATGATAGAAACGATATAAATTTGACCAACGATAGAGATTTTGACTATATCGCTCTATCGCGATAGCGCATGTTGATGATGTCATCAAGCTG